CAGTACCATGCTGTTTTGGTTACTGTAGCCTTGTAGTATAGTTTGAAGTCAGGTAGCGTGATGCCTCCAGCTTTGTTCTTTTGGCTTAGGATTGACTTGGCAATGCAGGCTCTTTTTTGGTTCCATATGAACTTTAAAGTAGTTTTTTCCAGTTCTGTGAAGAAAGTCATTGAATCTATAAATTACCTTGGGGAAGGCATTGAATCTATAAATTACCTTGAGCAGTATGGCCATTTTCATGATATTGATTCTTCCTATCCATGAGCATTGAATGTTCTTCCATTTGTTTTTGTCCTCTTTTATTTCACTGAGCAGTGGTTGGTAGTTTTCCTTGAAGAGGTCCTTCACATACCTTGTAAGTTGGATTCCTAGGTATTTTATTCAGCTCAGAGTGACTTTGATGCTGCCTTGTAGTTGGACAGGATTTATGGGCAGAAAAAGGAACGTGATGTACAGAAAATGGAAATGAGGTACAGAAAGAGCCAGATTGGTGATGGCTCAGCATTTGCCTTACTTGAGCCCAGTTTGAACAGCTGGCCACTGTGAGTGGCTGAAGTCTGGCTGCTGTGATTGGCTGAGACTTGGTTACTTGCTATGAGAGTAGGTGACAGTCTGTTTACATGTCCAGTTAGGTTACAGTTCACTATGTACAGAGAAACTTTTAGGCTGAATTTAAAATATGTAAGGAGAAAGGTTTAAGCTAAACTCATTAACACCTAGAAGAGAGAAGGTGTTCATTCAATAACTAATTATGGAGCACCTACTACGTGCCAGGAAGTGCTTTGTGCAAAATAGAAGAACATGTAACCCCAATACAGGGCAAAACTACAAAGCAATGGAAGCCATAAATGAAACTATGAGAAACACATAAACCAAAAATAAAATTCTAAGCCCTGCAACTGACTGATGGACCCTTCCCTTGGCCAAGGGCCTTTCAAAGTTAACCTGAAAAATTAGTTCAGGCCATAATAGGGATGGGTGGCTAAACATGCCTCATTGTACTCTCTTCCTTCCTGGAATTCAGGCACAGCTGATCAGCATTCACATCAACACAGAGATGTTAAGTCTGATAGAACAGACTCTTTAAGATTGATCAGAAACATTTACAATTGATTCTACCTGAAGCCTGCTATCTGGAGGCTTCATCTGCATGATAAAAACTTTGTTTCCACAACCCCTTATCTTAACCTAGACATTACAAGTTTTTAGATAATAATTCTTTTAAACAGTTGCCAATCTGAAAATCTTTGAATCTGCCTCTGACCTGGAAGCTCCCCTCCCCCAAGTTGTCTCACCTTTCCAAATTGAACCACTGTCCATCTTACATGAGACTGATGTCTTATGTCTGTCTAAAATGTATAAAACCAAGCTGTACCCCAACCACCTTGGGTGCATGTTCTCAGGATCTGCTGGGGCTGCATCATGGGCCATTGGTCAGTCATATTTGGCTCAGAATAAATCTTTTCAAATACTTCACAGAGTGTGACTCTTTTCATTAACAGACATGAAAGCCAGATACAGATGTAATAAGCAAGGAGGAAGAGCTCCAAAAGGAGAGAGAGTAATATATGGAGAAGTGAAAAAAATCAAAGAAATAAAATAACTTCCTTAAGTTGAAAAATACTTCAATATCTTAAGTCTGTGAAAGGAAATTAAATTTTAGAACCCCAGACTCATTTAGCCAAAGGGAAATGTCAAGCTGGGAACTGTGTCATGCAAACCTGCCTCCCGCTTTTGGTTCCTAAATAAGATGGCTATGATGAAAAGCTACACGTCTCCACCATATTTTGCTCACAAGGAAATTCCTAGTGAACTGTTAAAATTTCACCATGGCAATGCAAATTGATCGCTTATCTTTACAAGCGCAGTCACCCACCAGATACAAATGCATATCTGATTGTTCCCCTGCCCTATTTTGTCTATTTTCTCTTATGTAAAATGCAGATTCCCTGCATTGTTCCTCTGCCCCATTTGTTTATATCATCTTATGTTAAAAAATGCAGATTCACTGAGCCAGACAAAGGCATGAATGACTATTTTTCCCTGCCCTGCTCTTACATGAAAATTGTGTACTTCTCAATATCCCGCCCTTTCCCCTTTAAATTTGGAGCCCTCAAAATCATCTTCAGAGAAAGACATAGAGCTGTCTCCCAGGTGTGCATCCTTAACTTTCGCAAGTAAGTCTCCTAAAATGATTGAGACACATCTCATCATTTTTCTCAATGACAAGTCCTAGGTGGAAAAAAAAAAAAAGGAAAAAGATACACCTAGGTATATACTGATTAAAATTTAAAATGTCCAAGAGACAGGAGAACATGAGCGAAAGAGAGAGAGAAGGAAAGAGATGCAGAGAGTGAACAAGAGAGGAAGAAAGTAGGGGAGGGAGGGAGATAGAAACTCTAGGAAAAGAAACAATCAAACTATCATTAGATTTCTCCTTTGTCATTCTGAAAACGGGAAGACTGAAGTGTATACAGACTTTTTTTAGATCTTCATCTAAGCCTCTCATATTGTCATCAATGAGGGCAGGGGGATTTGTTTTGAGGGGATGGGTGGGGGGACAAGAGGACAAGCACAGACTCAGATCTTACACTACACATGGACCTTCTGAGGAAATTAATTGAACGCGTTCAGCTGAACAAAAATTAAATCAGAATGAATCAATAAACTCCTAAATACAGCAAAGGATATTCATTATAAAACTACAGCAAATATAATAGTAAACAAAGAAACAAAAATATGAGAGCGATGTTCATCACTACCACCACTACTTGTTTTGAGAATTCCAGCCATGCAATAAGAAAAGAATATCAATGGTGTAGATAATGGAAAGTAAGAGACAAAATTATTATCATTTAGATCATACGAGCACATTAACTAACCAGGCTCACTAACAATAAACATACAAGATCAAGTGATTAGAACCAATGTAAGAATTCAGTAAGAGACCAATGTACAGTAAATGTAAGAAACGAGTAA